TTAGAAATTATCACCAAAGCTGAATTAAAAAAAAAAGATCAATCGTGAAGGGCAAGGTCAAGGAGTCAGAAATCATAGCATGCTCGGAAATATCTTGTCATCTATAGGTAATACACATTTCAAACATGAAAGCCTTATTTCTTCTCAATCAAAAGTTAAAAGGAACAAGATGCGTTTGTGAAACACTGATGACCCCGTATGGCAACAAAGCAAAGATTAAACTTTTCTTAAATGCATATTAAATATATTGGTACCCAAATTTCAAAACGTACACGTAGGTCAAACTCCAAGGTCGAGGTAAAAGGGGTCAAAGTTCTTGGTATCCAATGAAAGGTCTTCTCACAAGGATTACTTATGTGAAATATGAAAACCCTAGCCTTTACCATTCAAAAGTCATGGTCAAGGTTAAAGTTTTTAAAAAGTAGGCGGAACTCCAAGTTCAAGGACAAAGGGTCAAAGTTGTTGATTTCCAATGAAAGGTCTTGTCATAAGGAATGAATATGTGAAGCATGAAAGCCCTAACCCTTCAAAAGTTATGGTCAAGGTGTTTTTTTTTAAAAGTAGGACAAACTCGAAGGTCATATAGAAACCCATTCACACTTCAGTGCTCAGTACATGTTACATAATACATTTTTCTCCACACTTCAGTGACCAGTACATGTTACAACACATAAAGAATACATATGTGAAATATGAAACTCTTAGTATTTACCGTTCAAAAGTTATGGTCAAAGTTAAAATTAAGTATCAAGGTCAGAAGGTCAAATATCATTTTATCTTAATATCCAATGAAAGGTCTTGTCACAAGGAAAAATGAAAGCCCTTGCCCTTACCGTTCAAAAGTTATGGCCAAGATTAAAGTTTTTAAAAAGTAGGCCAAACTCCAAGGTCAAGGTCAAAGGGTCTAAGTGCTTGATATCCAATGATGGTCTTGTCACAAGGATTAAATATGTGAAGTATGAAAGCCCTAGCCCTTACCATTCAAAAGTTATGGTCAAGGTTAAATTTTTCAAAAAGTAGGCGGAACTCCAAAGTCAAGGACAAAGGGTCAAAGTTGTTGATTTCCAATAAAAGGTCTTGTAATAAGGAATAAATATGTGAAGTATGAAAGCCCTAACCCTTCAAAAGTTATGGTCAAGTTTTTTTTTAAAGTAGGACAAACTCAAAGATCATATAGAAACCCATTCACACTTCAGTGCTCAGTACATGTTACATAATACATTTTTCTCCACACTTCAGTGACCAGTATATGTTACAACACATAAAGAATACATACGTGAAACATGAAACTCCTAGTATTTACCGTTCAAAAGTTATGGCCAAAGTAAAAATTAAGTATCAAGGTCAGAAGGTCAAATATCTTTATATCTTAATATCCAATAAAAGGTCTTGTCACAAGGAATAAATATGTGAAGTATGAAAGCCCTAGCCCTTACCGTTCAAAAGTTATGGCCAAGGTTAAAGTTATTAAAAAGTAGGCCAAACTCCAAGGTCAAGGTCAAAGGGTCTAAGTGATTGAAATCCAATGAAAGGTCTTGTCACAAGGATTAAATATCTGAAGTATGAAAGCCCTAGCCCTAACCCTTCAAAAGTTATTGCCAAGGTTAAAGTTTTTAAAAAGTGGGCCAAACTCCAAGGTCAGAATGTCGAAGTTCTTGTTATCCAATAAAAGGACTTCTTACAAGAATTACATATGTGAAGTATGAAAGACCTTACCTTACCATTTTAAAGTTATGGCCAAGGTTAAAGTTTTTTCATAAGTACGAAAATCTCCAAGGTCAAGGTCAAAAGGTCAAAGTTGTTGATATCCAATGAAAGGTCTTGCCACAAAGAATACATATGTGAAATATAAAAGTCCTAGTATTTACCGTTCAAAAGATATGGCCAAAGTAAAAATTAAAAAAAAATTGTGTAAAAGTGAGTCAAACTCCAAGGTCAAGGTCAAAAGGTCAAACTTGGTGGTACCCAATTAAAGGTCTTGTCACAAGGAATACACACGTAAAATATGAAAGTCATATAGCTCCACTAAATCAAAAGTTATGGGCAAGGTTAACGTTTTAGTGACGAACGGACATGCAGCTACACTGACAGACAGACGAATGAGATTTAATGTCCCCTCGCTTTCGCGAAAGCGGGGGGCAATAAGACTTTCACAGAACCTTTGTTACGTACAGCCATTATGCACCTCTTCTTTAGCTGTTTGATCAGACACATATTTTGGGTTTCCCATAGCAAAACATGGATATGGCCATCCTTTCTATAATATTGTTGAAGGGTACCAATCTAGCTCTTATCCGCATTTTCTCATACTATTAGATAAAAAATACTTTAATGACACTTTGATTTAAAATATATTTATTAAAATTAATGAGTTAAATTGGATTGAACAGCAGGCATCAATGCCTATGATTGTTCTCTCCATAGGTCAAGGCACATTAATGACATGTACTTATAAACACTGAATGATACTTTCACAGATTCTTTATTACATAATGCCATTGTGTATCTCCTATTATACTTTTTGATCGAACACTTAATTATTTCGGGTCTCCCGAGCAAAACATGGACTTTGCCATTATAATCATATGGGAGGCGGGGGTATCATTTAGTGAGCTCAGTGCCCACGGTATCTCTCGTTTTGAGTCTGTCGTTTGTCCAATTTCCTGCCCACTGTCATGTCGGTTTGAACACATAGTATTTACCTTACCAGCTATTTATTTAATTTTTAGTATTTCAGCGAAAAAAAAGGTATTTCCGATTGTCTGTATGATAATTTTAGTAATCAAGGAAAACCGGATAAAATATCACTTGCTCGATTTTGTACATGTAGTTTATTATAAGGCCCTCTTTAAAAAATTGTTTGTTTGCCCTCTCTCGACCGACAACCTGAAATGACACGATTAAAACAAAACTTTTCCCCTTTTATTGTCCCCCGCTTTCGCGAAAGCGAGGGGACATTAAAAAAAGTCTGTCCGTCTGTCAGTCCGTCACAAAAACTTTAACCTTGCCCATAACTTTTAATTTAGTAGAGCTATGACTTTCATATTGCACATGTGTATTCCTTGTGATAAGACCTTTCTTTGGGTACCACCAAATTTGACCTTTTGACCTTGACCTTGGAGTTTGACCCACTTTTACACAAAAATTCCAAACTTTTACTTTGGCTATAACTTCTGATTGGTAGATATTAGGACTTTTATATTATACATATATATTTTTTGTGACAAGACCTTTTATTGGATACCAACAACTTTTACCTTTTGACCTTGACCTTGGAGATTTACGTACTTATGAAAAAACTTTAACCTTGACCATAACTTTTGAACGGCAAGGGCTAGGGCTTCCATACTTCATATATGTAATTCTTGTGAGAAGACCTTTCATTGGATACCAAGAACTTTGACCCTTTGACCTTGACCTTGGAACTTAACCTACTTTTCAAAAACTTTTACCTTGGCCACAACTTTTGAACAATAAATACTAGGACTTTCATATTTCACATATGTATTCTTTGTGGCAAGTCCTTTCATTTGATATCAACAAATTTGACCTTTTGACCTTGACCTTGGAGATTTTTTGTACTTATAAAAACTTTAACCTTGACCATAACTTTTGAACAGTAAGGGCTAGGGCTTTCATACTTCACATATGTAATCCTTGTGAGAAGACTTTTCATTGGATACCAAGAAATTTAACCCTTTGACCTTGACTTTGGAGTTCAGTGATGATTTCTAAATAAATGACATGATAGGGTGTTCATATTACACACAATATGTCATAAAAATGACATCTCACCCACAGAGACACCGAAAGCGGGGGACCACAATTCCTTGAATTTGCTTGTTCATGAACTTTTTCATCCGTCAACGTGTATGTTAAATTTTTTTGTAAAGAAAAATTTTCCAATCCTTTATTTTTACCCTGTATATTTCAGTTGGGGTGGGTTAGTTGATTCCATCATGTGAAGTCGGACAATATATGAAGATTTTCTGTAAGTTTGGTTTAGTTCGTTTGGTTCCGAGCATGTAAAGACGAACCAAACATGTACATGTAGATTTCATGCAAATGGGTTAAATGTGCATGTAGTTGGCACTGTGTATACCATATAGTGTAGATTTCAAATGGGGTGGGTTAGTAGATTTCATGCATGTGAAAACAGACCATACTAGTATATAATTATGAAGATTTCTTGTAGGAGATGAGTTGGTTCCATGCATGATTACTCCTAATCCAAGTAAAATTATTTGTTTTCAGAGGAAAGCACTGAGGGCACTACTGTATGGAATCATGAGAAAACTATAATTTCTACTCCCCTCCAGAAATCTGTCCATCTATATAGGTAGATAATGCTATATCGGTAAGACAGACTGAATTCTAAAGTGTTTCTTTATTGAATTGTTTTCTATGTTGAAATATTTCTGCATCGATTCCAAAATGGTAAATAAGGCACGTTTTGATGACTTGGAAGCCAGGAATGTTTTTGACTTGTATTATACGGGGTGCCACATAAATGATATAATCTGACAAATATTTGATAAATTCTGTATGTGTTTTCATTTCTACAGAGCTAAGCATTTCATTAAATCGAAACAAAATACTTCAGGTTGACGTTTCAATGAGACAATATGATTCTTTAAAGTAAATTGTCAACCCAGTACTTCCCCGCCGCTTTTGTTTGTCTATACCTCCTTTTCCGATAACCATTGGGCGAAATAGCAAGAAAATCCTTCATTTCTTTTATTGAAATACTTTGTAACTCTGGGTTACTTTATTTCTTTCAAAATATTTACCGAATTTAAAACTTTGATTTAAGTGAACATCAAAGGAAAATTAGAAAGAAAGGGTTGTGGTTGTCCTGAGCCTCATGAGACGAAATCGTTCCACAGAAGACGAAGTGTACAATTCTCGTATTTGTTTTGGTATTTGGGTATATTGGGTTGATAAATCGCTCTCTTTTTCCAATGGCAAGTGGCAAGGCACAACTTTATTTTGAAAATGAGTAAACACGAACTAGTGACCTCGTGTGAAGATGTAAACTGAGAAAAACAGTACACAAACAAATGTAGTTCCTTTGTCTTGGAATTACACACATCTTAGCCTACTTGGTCTGGTTTGATTTGTTTTGAAATACCCGTAAGAGGCCTGCATGTTTTTTATTGAGGATAACTAAATGCACCATATTTCAAGAATGCGCACTGACTTTTTGCAAACCTACGACAAAAAAATCTTGAGATGACAAGAGCTTATTTTGCCATCTCAGTGGTACCCAGGAGATACCTGCGACAACAAGATATGCGCCACATTTAATTCCAACAACCAAAAAACTAGATAACATTGTTAACTTTTAGTTACCTTCATTTCTATGGAGTGAAGGAGTATGAGATAATGTAATGCCATCATTGCGATGACAGGCCAGTCTGTTAAATGCTTGTACATCGGACATACATGGACTCTGAGCAACATCTCTTGTTGACTTTTTCATGTGTCTTCGCACATAATAAGTCAGCTATATTATTAACTATTATTTGGTTGTTAATTAAAACAGAAATCAGTTTAAATTTGCTACGAAGATTGAAACTGATAATGGTTTTTATAGCAGTGACGGACTGTTTTCCGACTTCGGACAAAACTTGTGACAGGGCTATTCACATTTGAAAGACTGCTTATTTTCTTATAAATCTAAGTGTTAAGCATCAATTTATATCACATTTGTAAATTCATTTGCAATTTAATCCATCGAAATCGAAGAGCTTAATTATTATACAGTCATCAATTTTGTCTTTCCTAACGGGAAGTTCCTATTCTACGGGAGTATTTGAAAAGTGCGCAGGAGCAACCGGATATTGTTGTGATTGCATGTTTCCATGAATTGGAGAAAATGCGAGATGCATTAAAATTCAAGTAGTTCCTGATTGTTTCGCCTGAAAAAAATAATTAATATATATTTATGATCACCTGAAAGTTGCGGAAATTCTTATATTTAATGCATATGTTGATATAAATAAAGGTTAAAGCCACTTGATCAACTGGCAATTACGTAGATGAAATGCATCGGTCTGTATTTTTTAAGTAGTTGTTCTAGTACTATACGTATTAATTTATGTAGCTTCCTGTTGAATGATATACAATAGATACAAGTGCACATTACAAAATTATAAAAGAATACTTGTCAATTCTTTATGACCATGCATATCTATTGGGGAGAAATCTGGTTAACATTCAAACAAACGGCTCAGTACTAAGTATCATATTCGTGTTATATTTATACTAAACAGACTTACAAAAAATACAACTGGTGGAAAAGTATTGTTTAGGGCATTGACAAAGAGATATATTTGTAATCTTGAGAACTTTCAAGAACATTTTCTGATCACTTGAAAAAATCTTATTTAGAATTTCATGACTCTGTGCATTGTGTTCCACAAGTGATGGCCCGAAAGCGTCACTTGCACATGATTTTATTTCATTTTTTGGATGGAAACATCCACTTACTACAAGGATACTTCATATTAACCAAAAATAATGCTGAAAAAATATATTATTTAATAAAACACTTACAGTATACCTTTTTTGTCTACAAAAATTTCCTTACAAAAAATCTTTTCCCCGGCCCCTCCAATAATTATAATTACTTACTTAATACATACGATTTTTTACTTATCTCTTTTTTCTGACGCATGGAATATATAATCACATATATATGAGTGGCATTGTTGAATTCAATATATGATATTAATCGATATGGGTTTAGCATTGTGTAATCGTAAAATAAATCATTTAAAAAGATTCCGTGTTTCTTCCTAATTATCCGACGATGACAAGTCATTCTCCAGTTTTAATTTCAAAGATATTGAAAGTCATGATTTGCGTGCTTTCTAGGACAAAGATACTGAGCCTAATTATGAGCATTTAGATACCTTTTAAGGTTAAAAATTAGTAAAACTAACCGAATGCAAAATTATCAGAAATAACACATCAGACACGACACAAAGATAACTAAAGAAAGACTTAAGATGACCTCGATAGAGATATTCAATTTGCTAAGGAAACAATCAGATTCAGCCAAAGCTTTTACTTTTCGTAACGACTGCATTAAAAGACATTTCAGTCTCGCTAACTTCTGTTTTCCTTTTAAAATACATTAGCATCTTCAAAGATTTCTTGGCTAATTCCATCAGAGTAGCGACATTTAGAGACACATTTGTCTAAACCATTACAAAATATTCATCAGCACTCGGATATTTGACTAAATGTAATAGATATTCTTCCTTTAAATGACCAGTTTGCTGCGGAAACGAGGCTCTCTCATGAAAACCAAGTTTCCTCCAACGGAGATTCTCAGAACCACATAGGAAATGTTTTAAAGCAAACGGACAGAAATAATGCAAGCTATAACGAAACGTAACGATCACAAATTACACGCTTGCTTTCCCAGTCGCAGTCATTAGCAAACGTTGTTCTCGGCAAACAAGACGGCAGCCTCGTCCTCGCGAACAGGATGCCGGGTAATCCTAGTGTTTCTCTTGCATCCAAAATTTCAATTATCGGCGTCATTACATTTTGTGATTTCCTGTGAATTTGTAAATATCATATTGCACAAAATATTGATTAAATCCCAAATGAAATGAATGCAATTAATCATAAAATTATGAGTATATGATAAATTGAGTAACCCAGGATCATTGGTGCAGTTGCATGGATTTGAGGATATTTTTTACAATCTTTTGAAATCTCATTTTTGATAATCAATTGTTATATTAATCCTTTCCAAATAAATGGTGTAATCCTAAATCTCAGATGAATATTATTTGATTCTTTACTTGTCATGTGGCATTTATAAATTACCGGTAAAACAAGTATTTTGCCAATAATTACTGCTTCTAAATAATAATAAAATATACCTTTGCATATATACGTTTGAGTTTCGATATACTAAAAATGCGAGGACAAGCACAACACAAACATATAGAATTGCTTCTTTTGACACCCGAGAACGAAGGCTGAAGCGAATGATGCAATAATCAAAATGTCATTGTTTTCTTAAAAGCGATGAGAACAACTGCCCCTGGCGTTTTGATCAAACGATCATTTCAGCTTTTGCAATGTCAGTTCGTGCTAATCAGCTTTTTTTTTGTTAATTATTTGAAGTTGATTGAAAATTTAAGAAGACAAGAGACCCTGACATTTGGTTTCTCATATTTTCTGTTTTGTGGTCGTAGACATTCCGAAATCTCGGGAAGTCTTGGAAATCTCATCAAACATCTCGTACCGAGTCAAATACATTAAGCGTCTCAGACAACCAGACCGTCATCTCACCTCTTTTATGACCTTAACTTTCTACTAATTGTACTCATTCTAAAATACGTTTAAATACGTATACCAAATAAAATTTTCGCCATTTTATGTTTTCAATCCTGAGGTTGGCATAGTGTATCTTTCTGAAGCAACGTGTATATACAATCATGTAGTATTAAAGGATATAAACAATGCTGCGAAAAATGCAGACTCTGTATACAAACATATATACAGATGTACTGAACAGTACATTCCTAAAAATAGTTGTTTGTAGTATTGCAATATTTGCAGCACTTGGGACATTTTTGTTCTTCATATATTGCCGCACACTCTTTTAGAAAAAAAAAAAAGGCCTTGTGATGTATAGGCGACTTCAGAAGTTGCTTTTTTTCAAAGACAGCGTTTGCTTTGAGGGACAAATTTGCTGGTTTCCAGTTTGATTGAACATTTGTCGAATGCCCGAAGAAATCGGATTTGAAGACTAATTTGTGTTTTGAAATGAATCGTTTTGTTTAATGGATTGAAAGCTTTCCATCAAACCTTCGCCAAACGGAGTGTTCCGGGCGGCGAGCACAACGTACTAATCGAACGCCCCTGGATATTAGAAATCAAATCCGGATGTATCAATAATTTTCATTTCCAGTCTGTTAAATGATCAACTCATGGAAAAGCAACGCATGCGTAAAGATTGTGAAAGTTCTACAACAAAAAAATAATGGTATCGGCATGTCAGAAATCTATATCCAAGAACAGCAAATTCTTCTTTACAAGGTGCTTGTTATTTTCTTTATTCCTCTGTATTATCTGCATTCTAATTACATCATAAAGTAAATGTTTATGATTCAAAAAAATATATTTTTGAAGTTCGATTTCAATCAATTTTTCTTCGGAAAACCGGAAAGCGATTCATCATTGATCTGAGGGTTTTGACAAGGTGACAGCTGAGCGATCGACAATTAACGACACGCATATCTATCGGTCCGAAATTACCTCCCATTGTAGACGATATTATCTCTTAATATTAATGCCAAATTGAAATATCAATATTTCTGCAAATAACATCAATTTTATTTTGATAAATGATTCATTTGTTCTTTTGCAATTCTGTTATCCAAATGGTTAAACGGCTAATTTGATCTTTTATATGACCTAATGTATCTGTTTTAACGGGAATCAAAATGAGAAGAGGGAAAGTTCATGCAAGCTTTAACGAACAAAACGTTTCATTATCTGTTTAACATCCGATATGATGGATCCGATGCTTCATTTCAAATATTGAATTTAATTCTGTGTGTATCTCTGATCTGCCTACTTGGATTTTTTTTATTTGATGATAAATCTGCTATCGAATACCCTGATGGAGAGCTATTTGCTTTCTTTTTTTAGAGAAGACTTAAAAAAAAACGAGAAATAAATTGTAAAAGTTAAACAAATAATAAAGGGCAGTTCTCTTACTCCATCCTATCGCCTTAATTTGTTTATGGTGTATAAAACAAGATTGTAAATCCTCCCTTTTCTGTGTCATCCCTCCTTTCTATATTTACTTTATTTTATGGCAAAAACAGAAAAAGAACAAATATTTATAAATCATTGTAATATACGTTGTCAATAAAATCTGAGTTGAAACTGAAGTAGGTATGGCACTTTATAATGGAGAATTAATGTAGGAATGAGCTTAAGTATTTAGTACACTTCTAAATTTGGGGTATTTATTC